CGCTCGGTGACTCGACGTCGACGTGAAGGGCCAAGGCCTAAAGGCTCTAGTTGTAAAGGGCGAAGGCAGGAACGTTACGAGCAACGATCAACCGTCGCGGGAATTGCCTTGATGTGTCACGGGCGTGACTTTGCACCTTGACCTCAACTCAATCTCAACGGTTGGCTTGACCATTGAATTCAGCTGCAAGTTGTCCCCAAATGCAGCAATCAAGCTTTTACTTTCTCCACGCCTGAAATTCTGGAACAATATTCAATTGCCACTCGGCAACCGCTGGTGAAGCCGTCCCAGGTGTAGGGCTCTTCACCGTAACCGTAACGATACGGATACGGTCATACGGTACGGTCACCGTACCGTACCGTGGCGATCTGGGGACGACAGCTAACGTACCGTCCGGCACACGGTGAACCCCGTATCTTGCCGTATACCGTATACGATGTTACGGCCGTACTTACGGAGACTTACGGTACCTGCTCGGCAACCACCAGGTCAGTCAAAATTGATTGCGAATCATACAATTGTACCCACCGGCAGATATTCAAATGCTCCACCGAGCCTCCGCGGTGCTGCCTTCACTACAACTGATGCATGCCGTCTGAAATCAGGGTGTTTTACTCCGTAAGCGGTCGGCAAACGAAGCGCTTCCCAATCCGGCAGTGTCCAAATCGGGAAGGAATGCGCGAAACTCACCTGGAATTAGGACTCAGCGCCAGTTTTAAGCCTGAGGGGAAGTATACTGGGTGACAGTGAACAATACCCGGTGATTGCAAGCACTTACCCCACCTCATATGGCAGAGTTTTCGAATCTATACACTCCGGCACCGACCGTAACCGTATTACGGCCGTATTCTGGCCGCACCGTACCGTCAGGCCTCGGAGGCCAGGAATTACGGCCGTACCGTACGCGTACCGTACCCGTATTACGGCAAAAAATGACCGTACCGTATACGGTACGGCCGGTGAAGAGCCCTACCCAGGTGAAAGGTAACAAAATTCGATTTACTTTGAAATAAAACGCAAAACCAGGTGGGCCGGGCGTCCGAACGGCTAAGACCCTGCAATTGCAACAATATTCCCTCCTCATGAGCCGAAAGCTTCACTCGTCAGCCTCACAAACTGCCCGCGCATCCCGAGCCTCACCGTATCTTATTATAAATCTCATGCCGCTTAGCAATTCTGCGGCGTACCGAATATGAGTTCAAAAGGGCTCCGTCTGCCAGCGATATTCTGCATCAACAATGGCACTACTCTGCATAGCAGCTTCCCTCCTAGTCATCTCTTCTCAATCATTTGTTGTCGCCGAGCCGTCTTCAACTTATACTTGCAACACTTTCACGATCCCCCTCAAAAATATCTCGATTCTCCGCGCCGTCATTCGAGCTCACTTTTGAGATCAAAACGCAATGGGATATCACAGACTGGACAATCAACGAGGCCCGCCGCGATTCAGCCACAGCATTTAACGGGATTGCAGGTCCCGGCACGGTGATCGGCGACTTTGACATCAGCGCTCGTTTTTGTTCGCCGTTGAAGCGTACAAATTTATCTCAAACGGTTTTGATACTCACACATGGTCTTGGGGCGGATAAATCGTTTGTGTCTTTGTGTCGAAAATCCAAAGCGGCTAGCTCATTGCAGTAACGTAGGTATTGGGACCCGACGTTTACCGGAGGCGAGGAATATAGTTTCGTTCAAGCTGCTTTAACGGCCGGTTACTCTGTTTTCCATTATGATCGAATTGGAACGGGGCTCTCTACCAAGTCAGTTTTGCCTCGATTCATTCCTTCGTCTTGCTCATCGGATTCCAGAGCGGATCCGCACAGCGTGGTTCAATTCCCAATTCAAGTCGAAATCCTCGCCGCTCTCACTCGTCTTCTCCTTGCCCCATCCTCCCCATACACTCCAGATGTATCTCTTAAATCTGCGGTCCACTTTGGCCATTCCTACGGCTCGTACATCACTGCCGCCCTCGCCTCAGCGTATCCAGATCTCACACAAGGGATATCGCTCTCCGGCTATTCGGGAGTCTTCGACTTTTTCAACATCCTGATTGCTGGATGGCAGTCTCGTGTCGCAGCGCTCCTTGATCCCTCACGGTGGGGCCATCTTCAGTCGGGATACGTTACCCCGGTCGACTTGTATGCCGATGAGTATCTCGAGTTCAAGAGCCCTTATTTTGACCATGCCGTCGCTGAATGGGCGAGCTCAGTCAAATCGCCGTATGCTGTGGGCGAGTTGGCCACGCTTGGACAAACTCCGTATGACACGACCAACTTCACCAAGCCTGTTCAGGTAAGCTGGCACGTTCTGCGCATGCTTTGTTCAATTCAGATAACCGACGGCTTCTCGTGTAGGTATTCCAAGGCCGGTACGATCTTTCTGCTTGCGGCGGCAATTGCGACGGTGTTCTGAACCGCACGGCCTTGCTCTGGCCGAAGGCTACGCCCTTGGATATCAGTGCATATTTCCCAGCCGGGCATTCGGTGAATCTGCATCACAATGCAAGTGTAGCGTTTGCTGCTATGCTTGGCTTTGTTACGAGTAATATTCATGCTTAGTTATAACTTACTTTGATCTGTTTTCAAATACTACATTAATTTTCTTTTATTCGAAGGCTGGGTAGTGCTCGAGTTCAACCGTGGGAATTACCTCAGCGAACTCTCACGGTTCAATACTTCGACAAAACAACGACATGGGGCTGCTTGTACAGTTTTACGTTTTAACTAGTGGTGTGCGAGGGTTCATGCATGTTAAAGTTCATGGGTGACTATGGAGGAAGAATTCAAAGGCAGTGGAATGTGTTCATGTTGCATTTGTCCAGTCTGTTTCCGAAAATTTAGATGGATTTACATAATTGATGGTGCAAAGCTAGCATCCCTGCTGATGTTGAGCGCTGAGCGTCGTTTGAATTGGGGGTTGATCTGATAATCGTTCCATTTTGACATAATTCATGTCTAGAGTTACAGTGGCTTCAGCAAGTGTCGGTTTGCATGGACAGGGAAAATTCAAACTCAAATTTTGGTGAAACTCACAGACCAGTGTCCATGACTACAAAAGATGCTGGATTGGCGGTGTAATCATAAGACTCACCGGCGCCCCGCCAGTGTTTGTCGCCCTTGGGGAAGACTCCTGTTCGAATCAGGGTCGGTTCATGTTGCGCACATGTCTCAATTCTTTTTCGCTCCTGTTCTTTTTTCGTCGTTTCTCCTTACCATGACTTGGATTGATTTCTGCTTGAGACGACTTGAAGAGGCGTCTGGTAGTCCGTAACGTAACGGCGATGTATGAGAATTGAACCGTGGGAACGTCTCCGAAAGAGTTCAACCCAAGAATTAACGTTCCAACGGGCCGGTTTGGATGGTTAAAAGGGATCGATGGTGCAAGACTGTGCAAGATTAGCGAGTCCCCTACTGATGTTTGTCAGTGCAGTGCACATTTCGAGAGGGCAAGATCCTCGCTCGAATCGGGGCGATCCGTTAGATGTATTGTTTCATTTTTTTCCGTTATACTTCTCTCTAAGTACAGCCGATCACGGACTTGCCGATGGCTTGCAGTAAATTTGCGGCGGTAGTGAGCAAACTTGGTTTGATGGAAATAGGTTCAGAGGAATCCTCTCGGAGAGGAGTTGCCAAGTGGGATTGATATCATAGAGATCCAGATGAACGTTGATGAACCCCCACCGCGTCGTAGATATGGAAGTATTTAATTGCTCTTCACTCAAATTAATCGCGAGTACACCTTTCAATACCGTATTGGGTCGAGACTTTGTCTTTTGTTGATATATTCATGATAACTGAGAATTGAACCGTGAGAATATCTCCGAAAAAGTTCAACAACAGTCGGACGGGCCGGCTTGGAGCTCAAAACGGATCGATAGTGCAAGGTTAGCGCGTCCCCTGATGATGTGTGTCAGCGGGGAAGATTCTCGTTCAAATCGGGGTGAATCCATTCGGAAAGCCGCTGCGTATGCATTTTTGTTTTCAATTCCTTCCTTGCCCTCGGCGTCGTTGGAATCAAGGCTGGTATTTGCTGAGTATCAGCCCTGCATATATCAGGAATTGGCGTACGCTATCTGCCTTTCGATTTACTCCAAAGTGCGAGTCAGTTTCGTTGGTTTGTGGGTGGATGAGGTTATCATCAGTGGGTATCACAATAATCGTTTAAGGATCGAGGGGAATGGATTGATAGTGTAGAGCCAACACATCCTGATACCATGAGTATAAGCTGCTTCGGTAATGGGAAGCTCCTCGTTCGAATCGAGGTCAATCCCTAAAAGCTTTCGCGCTGTTTTGTTCTTCTGTACTTTGCAGCGGCCCCCGAGTCTAAGAACGGTATATATAGTTTAGGCACTCGCAGTCAATTTGCGGCAGCAGCGAGCAGAGTTGGTTAGAGATTGAGGCTGATTCAGCAGAATCACCTCGGATCGGAGTGGGGTTGATATCATGAACAGAGATTTAGATGAACATACAGCGCGTCGTATTACATACAGTATGAAAGTGTTCCGTGTTCATGAGAATCCTTCGTTCAAATCGAGGTCAATTTATCATTGATAAGTTCATTTCAATTTCTCTTAAATTCGATCATGAGGTTAACCCATTCAACAGTGTATTGAATCCAGACTTTTTCTTTTGTTCGATAAGTACATGATTGATCTGAACTTTGAACCGTGGGAATATCTTGGAGAAAGTTCAACCGTCAAACGGACCGGGTTGGGATGTTAGAACGGATCGGTGGTGCAAAATTAGCACGTCCCCTAGTACTGATGTGGCAAGGCGCAGTGCGTATTTTCGGGGAAGATCCTCGTTCGAATCGGGGTCGATCCATTCGGAGAAGTAGGCATTTTTTCTTCGAGTTCTTTCGTAATCCTGGATTTGGTTGATATCTGCCGAGTGTGAACCTGGAGTATGCGATCTGACCTCTCAATTTACCGCAGAGCATGAGTCAGTTTCGATGGATTGTGATCAGATGAAGAACATAGTGTGTGATGAATAAAAAGGAATGGATTGATGGTGTAGAGGTAACACATCCTGGTCAAGTGGCAGACATGTACAAGTTGCCCTGGGAAGTCCCTCGTTCAAATCGGGGTCAATCCATTAACACAAGCACTAATGTTTTCCCCCATGTCGGGGTTCAGACTTTTCTCTAAGTGCTTGATTCATTCGGAAAAGCCGTATGCATTTTTTCTTTCTGACTCCGTTTTCCTGGGGCTGGCTAGGATCGGAGGTGATATCTACTGAGTATAAGGAATCGAGGTGTGCTCTCTGGGTTTTAATTTATTCAGAAAGAGTTGGATTCGTTGGATTTGTTGTGGTTGGATGAAGACACGCATGCTTGCGATTCAGATGGATTGATGGTGTAGAGGTAACACATCCCAGTCAACTGCCAGTGAATAAATTGTTGGTTGGGAAGTCCCTCGTTCGAATCGAGGTAAATCCGTGAACCCTGGCGGCCAATGTTGTTTTGTTTTTTATTTTTATTTTGTTTAAACAAGGTCTATCTTGGAAGGCTGAAGTTTGGAAAAGAATGGAAGAGGGCTGGCAGGGAGTGTCGCGGTTATAGTGATCGTGTCTGTAGCAGCAGGTCGGAAAATCCAAAAATGCCTCAAAGTGGGGATGAACAGCAGTAGCTACGATGCTGCAATTGTAGTCAGGGAGCAAGGCTTTCTTGCGGTTGGCTTTGAACTTTGCAGTGGATCGAAGGTGCAGCTTTAATTACAGGCACTCGGAATTCAAAGTATGCACAGCTGGGAAGATCCTCGTTCGAATCGGGGTCAATCTGCTGTCTGTACGCCACATACTTTTTTTATTGGGTCCCCTTGCGCAAGATGCTACTGTATTGAATTTCGACGTGGACATCAATTCAATAATAATGGCTCTTGTGTTCTTAATCAGATGACCAGTGAACGTTGGAATAATTTTGAGGACACTCACGTAGAGTTGAACAAAAAAAGGGATGGACTGAAATGTCTGTCAGTAACAGGGTATAAGTAGGATTGAAGTTTGAGGTGTAGGAAAGGATTGAAGGTGTGCTGGTAACACGTCTCTTGCGGGTACAGCGTCAACACATGTTGAGAGAAGTGCCTCGTAACTCGTTCGAATCGGGGTCAATCTGTCGCATGGTGGTCATAAGCCTTTTTATCCCTCCTTGCCCAAGATGTTATTGAATTTGGTGCACATCATGGCCTTTGTCATGGTATTATTGAACGTTGGAATAATTCTGGAAGTGCTCACTGTAGAGATGAAGAAAAAAAGCGTCAATGACGAACTGGTCGACGATTTTGCCCCTGCGGCTGCCAATCAGGGTTTTAGGCTTGTGGGGTAGATAGCGTTTGGATTAGGGATTGGGAGTGCAGTCGCCGGGACGCTTGGATCGATTGAGAAAGGGGATGACACTGAGCTCGAGCGGGTTTGGCGGGAATATGGGACCGGTTGGCGTGTGTAATTATGGTTGTATTCTTAGCGCGACGGAAAGATAACTTGAAGTAAAGGGTGCCCTGCGGGGGAGACGAGTCGTTTGTGATAAGAAAAGGGTTATCTGTACTAACGCACGCGAAAAACGCGGTAGAACGCGTGGATTGGGTTGTCGGAGGAGACGGTGCACCGACAGGCGTGATCGTGTCGCCGGGGGATTTTGACAGGACGGTTACGTTTGATGTGGCGGGGTTCTTTGATCTGTTCTTTTCGTTCTTCTCTCCGGAGTGGTCGACGCCGGAATACAAGTCGGCCGCCAGTCAACACCATGGCTAACCACAACCCTCCCTCCTCCTCTTCCTCCTCCTCCCCATACAACACCAACACTATGATAACTCCTTCACCATCTTTCTACGATCCCAACCAGCAGCAGCAGCAGTGGGGGGCGGAGTATACTCAACAATTCGAGTTTAGCTACCCCGCACCGGGCAGCAGTTCATACGAGGAATTACTGGCTCAGTATCATGATTACTCTCAGCAGCAATACGCGGCGAGTTTGTATCCTCCACAACACCACCAGCAACAACAACACCAGCACCAACAACCACCTCCGCCTCCGCCGCCAGTCGCACACCCGCATCCTCATTCTCTCCACCCGCCCCCGCAATCGCAACCACCACAGCAAACACACGCCTCTCCTCCTCCGCGTCCACCACCGCCACAGCAACAGCAACAACCAGCGCCCTCCGCATCCCCACCTGCCGCGAAACGTAAACGCGTTACGAAGAAAGCGGCTGCGGCGCCGCCTCCACCCCCGTCGTCCTCGGCGGCGAATGGGTATTCCGACGGCAGCGATTCTGATGGGGGGTATGGCGGCGGGGGTGGGGCGGGGATCAGTGTGGGGATGGGTGGGTTGGGTGTGAGGAGTCGGGGGGCGAGACTGTGAGTTTATTCCTTTCTTGTGTTTCGGGTTCCTCGTTTTTTCATGTGCTGGAGGTGAATTGTGAGCTGACGATTTCGTTCGATATCTTTCTCCCTCTTCCTCAATCCCGACTGCCTTGCTTGCTGCTCTCGACGCGCCGCTCTACCACCCACCTCGGGCTTCAAACGCCACCCCTTACTATACACCACTCCGCCCGACCCTTCTGGACTCATCCATCCTTACATCCTGCTCTAACTCTACTCTCAACCCAACGCAACTCGCATGCATCTCTTCCATTTCACTTCCCTTCGGGTATCCTGATTGCCTGTTCGCATCCTGCGTCCTTCTTCCCGCACGAATCGGCTCCACATCTCGCAAACGGGACGCGCTTTCCCAAATTCGACTACTGCATGCTGCGTATGCCCTTCTTTGGACCGTCGACGTGCCCTGCTCTTCCAATTGGAACTCTCGACCTGCCCTTCCATCCCGCATCACACCTCACTCTGCGGCCAACCCAACACCCAACGAAATACCGCGCCCACAACTCAACCAACCAACATCCGGCTATGCCTCTCGACTGCCTGTTTATCTCTGCAACTGCCTCGATGATCGACGATGATCTGCGGATTTTCTGACGACGGCCGGTGGGTGTCGTTGGTTGTCCTGATCTGCGGATGATCTCTGCCGAACTTGGAAATTATTTATGCATCGACTGCCGCGGTTTGTTCTACCCGGTCTCGGATGGCTGGGTGGCTCTGGGTGGCTGCGGTTTTTTTTATCTCGGGTGTCGCGCGTGGCTGCTTGCGCTCTGATGTTTGTTTGGATGGACGGCTCTCTCGGCGTGCGTTTGGTCTGCTCCGCCGCGCTGGCTTTCGTGTCATGTCGTATGCTTGCCTCGATGGACCTCCTCGTATGGCTTGGATGATACCAACCGATACGACGCGCTTCAAAAAAACCTAAATGACATCAAAACGGCGGGATGGCTTCGCTCACCTCGTCCTCCTTGTCTGTCGAAAAACAAAAACGCCACTGTAACACCATCACACCATCACGCAAAACCGAAACGACGACAACGCAAACAGCCCCGGGGCGTGCACGCATTGCAAGAAGTTGAAGATGAAGTGCGATTTTGGGCCCGCGGTGGGTGGGAGTGGTGGTGGGGGGTTGGGTGAGTTTTGGTTTTTGTTCGGGTTTTTGTTGTGCGTGTTTGCGTTGGAGAGGGAGGGAGGAGGTGGAAGGCGATGTAGGGTCTGTGTTGCTGGAGAGCGTGTGGGGTGATAGACGGGGCGCCGCGCGGTGGAGCGGTGAGATGAAGAAGATCGCGCCGCCTACGCCGTTGTACGGGATCGGGTGGGGTGGGGTGGATCTTTCTGCCTTGTCTGCCCGCCCCTTCGCCCTTGTCTCCTGCCTCCCTTGCCTCCCTTGCCTCCAGGGGGGAGGAGGGGCGCCGCACGGTGGAGCGGTGAGACGAAGAAGAGCGTGCGCGGTGATGGACGGGGCACCGCACGGTGTAGATGGGGGAGATGCATAAGAGCGCGCGGGAAGAGTGAATCATTCTTCGTTTCTCTCCTGCCTGTTCTGGCTGTCCCTTGAAGCCTCCCCCAGTCCCTTTCCTCTCCCTCTTCTCATCATATCCATCCCTTCCCATAACCTACTAACAACACCTAGACGACGATCTCTCCTCCTCCGCGGGGTATACACCGGGGGACAACACGTGTCGGCGGTGTCGCGCGGGCGGGCATGTATGTATTGTGGAGGGGAGGAAGCCAAGGAGTGCGCCGAAGTGAGTGGTTGATTTGGTTGTGTTCGTTTTGTTTCTTTGTTTGTCGGCGGCTGGAAGGTCTCGGCCTGTGGTTGTGCTTGGGATGAGGATGCGACGTGGCGTCGGCATGTGTACTTTGCGGTGTTACGCGTCATGCGCCGCCGTTCGTTTTGATGCGCCTCTTTGACGCGCCGTGTTGGTGTCGGCGGTCTGGTGATTTTGATGCGGGGCAGGGTTCAGACGGACTATGGTATGGAGAGGAAAGCGCGGGCCTCTCACCTCCCGGGCCCCACTCCTCATCATCTCACCATTTCCGTCTCGATCTCATTGCACGCGCGAACGGTGGCAGACTTTGCAGGGGATTCGCAGATGCAGGTGTAGCACATGCAGACGGCATGGTCTCAACTGCGAGTTTGCTAGGGGCTTGCCTTTTTCCCTCTCTCCGTTACGTTTTATCGTTCTCCCGGCGATTCCTCCCCCGGAATGCCCAACAATCACTCGATAAGCGAGATTGTGTTTTTCATGCTCGGGGTTTGATGGCCCGGGTTTTGTGGGCGTCTGTGGCTTGCTTGCCGCTTGCCATGTTCTGCCATGTTGCGGAAGGGACATCCGTGGGACTGGGGTTGGGACAGTGGCAGCGGCAAGGGGAAGTTGACATCGCCGCAATCATGTCAATCGATTCCATTGGCGCTGTCGCTCGTCGGTGATCGGGCCGCTGTTTCGCGGGGGCGGTCGGGTGTTTGTATTCGCCTGTTGTTTTTGTTTAGTCTTCTGCTTTCTTTCTTCTTTGCGTCCGTTCATCTTCTTTGCGATTTTACACCGGCGTCTTTGCCTCCGGTGGCGCTATGTAAGCCGGTTTGTGTCGTGGCGTTACTTTCCGCATAACCCTCCGTAATCTCCGCACTTGTGGCGTTCGTGGCGGTGTTGCAGGCGTTGTGCAGACGCCGGTTGAGGGTTTGCTTGCTTGCTTGCTTGTGCGTCCGTTGGGCCGTCGTTCAG